TGTTTAAACGAGTTTTTTCATTTGTTTTTTTCTTTACTTTGTTATATTTTGCTTTCTTTTTTTTTTAATTTTTTTTTGGAAAAAAATACATTGAAAAAGTTTTTTGGTTTATTCAGGGCTTATATGCATACCTGTGTGTGCATATAAAGATTTTAAACTTTTTTTTTTTTTTGTTCTTCTAAATAATCATAAAAATCATTTAAGAACTTTAAATATTTGTTGACTTCATTTTTGTTACTTTTGTTTTTATTACGTAATTGAAGAAGCTTTGCAAAATGTATTTTAAACTAATTTTGACGATTGAAAAAATCTCATTCATCTTAATATTCGTTTAAATCAACGCATTAAAAAATTACAAAAAATCTTGTAATGTTAAAGGTGAATACATTGAACTTTCAGACAGCGCTGGGAATATTTGACTTAGCATCAGCTGTAGGTTAGGAGTTATAGTTAGGATTGCGCCAAACGCCTTTGGCAACAATTGTGCCAAATGTTAAGGAAGGGAAAACTATCAATAGGAAAATAATGGCTACGGCGATAGCATCGATCTTGATGTATGTGAGCCCGGTTTGGGTGGGGGCACTCATTGTGAAAGCAGTATACCGAATATAGGCGGCAGTATATCGTCTTGGCACATTGAGGCAGATATACGTATTCCGAACGGTGTCGGAGAAGGAAGCCCTTTTGATCGCAGGCGCCATGCCAAAAACCCATGAAGAAAGACGAGCGGTTTGTGTCGATAAAGATTTGGCAGTCGCGATTGGCAAGAACAACGAAAGGAAGTAGGACGTTCGCTCTTATACCAAACATAACGCGATGGACCGAAAAGCCACACGGCGAGGTAAATTATTATCACATCCAGTTCGTGACTGGTCATGGCTGTCTACAGAAGTGCCTGTACAGGTTCGGGCATGACAACTCGCCATACCGACCGCATTGCTCCGTTTTAGCTTTGGTGTTTTTGTTTTTTTTTCTAACCATACTTAACATATGCAATAAAGAACTGTTGCATGTTTTATTAATCGAGATTTATCGAATTTTGAAGCAATTTTGGTTTTTTGACTCTCTTACCTTTTTTTTTGTTTTTCCTCTATTTTACATGAATTATTTCTCTGTCCTTTACTTATTTTATAATCAGTATAAGATACCGAAATACTTCTTACATGAACATGCATGCAATTAAAACCTTACAAACCATTTCTGTTTTCAAATAAACTGAGAGTATCTTTAACGAAAGTCTTTTAAAAATCATATTTATATATATGTTATATATGAAATATTGCAAACGCCCGCGAAAACTTTTAATTTAATAAATTTAAATGGGAAATATAATTAAATCTCTTTTCTGACTATTTTTTTTTATCAATTTTAGCTTTTATACTTTTTGTGTTTATGTCGACGTCACTGCTAAATAAAGTTTCTAGATGCAAGGCTAACAGAGAAAAACTTCGTTAAGGCATTCACGCACAAAAAAAAGTACTTAATTTGACAATCTCACGCAAGGCACTGAAAAAGAAATCGACAAGTAATTTAATGGGACTCATGAGGCGCTCCATTTTTGCTTTTGTGTTTGTGGTTTTGTTCTCACCATACTTAACATATGTAATAAAGAGAGATTAGATGTTTTATTAATCGAAAATTATCGAATTTTGAAAGAATTTTTGTTTTTGATTTTCTTACCTTTTTTTTTTTTGCTGTATTTTACATGAACTATTTCTCTCTCCCTTACTTATTCTATGCAATAATCAGTATAAACTATCGAAACACTTGTTACAAGAACGTGCATGCAATTAAGACCTGTGAAGTAATTTCTGTTTTTAGGTAAACTGAGAGCATCTTTAAGGAAAGTTTTCAAAAAGTTTCACTAAAATGAATGGAAAAGCGCGCGAAAACCGCTAACTGAATTTTCATGGAATATATAATTAAATACTAGTTCTATTAGCAATTTCTATTCTATACTTTTTTGTTAATTTTATTATTAATCTTAATTCTCGTCAAATTTACTAAATTCAAGTCCGATATACTAAGAGTTCTTTAAGGCATTTACGTACAGAAAAATCGCGAAACATTGAAGAAGAGATTGACAAGTAATTTATGGGGAGTCGTAGGACTTTGGGTTTTTGCTTTATTTATTCTTTTCTAATGTCAGTTAACATATATAATAGAGAAATTTTAGAGGTTCAACCGAGACTTATCAAGTTTTGAAACAATATTCTTTGTTCGATTTTCTTTACGTTTTTCTTTTTTTACTCTATTTTACTTGAACTATTTCTCTCTTTCTTACTTATTCTTCGGCGAACAAAAGTCGAAGATGAAATGTGTGTTTGCGCTTAAGCGCCATGGATAGCGAATGATGCATAATGTTGCCAGTACGGATCAGCAGTATCTTTCGAAGATTTCTATCTTCAGCTTGCAAAGCGAAAAAAAAAAACAAACTGATAAGAACAATACAAAATACAAAATGAGAAGCTTCAAGATAAAATAATATTCAACTAGATGTAAAGCTACATTAATTACATTGCAATGCATTTTAAAAAAAAGAATTCTAGTAGAATCACCAAACCATACAAAATCAGAAAGACAATGAAGTCTTTATGCTGTTAATATTTCGCCAGAGTAAAAAAATTTCTTTTACTTAAGATAGTAGACCCATGCAAATTTTTTAAAAAATTGATTTTTTCTGTTTTTTAGCTTAATAGATGCTTTGGCCCTTCTAGAAATCGTGGCAAAAAGTCATTGCCCGCAAGAAATGTTTTCATTCAAATTTTGACACCTTCCGAAAATAAAGTAAGTGCCTTGAACAAAGCGACTGATATTGCTGTAGTAGACTAGTATTCGTAAAGTCATCAAAGTTTTGAAGGTGGACATTGGTACGATTTTTGCATTGAAGTCGATGCTAATCGGATCAAGAAATTTACGCGATCTTTGAACCGATGCTGCAAAATTGAAAAGTTGTAGCATAAGACCTCCAAGAGAGAGAAAGAGGCGGAGTATTCAAACTTTCAAGGGCAATTTTATGGTCCTGAAATCTAATAGGCTCATCGACTAATAATAGTAATAATAAAAAATTTCTGTGCGTGAATGGTTTAGTGAATTTCTTCTTCTGAATTTAGTAAATTGAATTTAGTAAATTTATCTAGCAGTATAAAAGTATAAAAGATAACATTAATAAAAAAAGTTCACAGAAAAGGAATTTAATTGTATTTTCCATAAAAATGTATTAATTTAGAAGTTTTTGCGGACGTTTCCATTACATTATATATAATATAAAATTTTTAAAAGACTTTCCTTCAAAGTGCTCTCAGTTTACTTAAAAATAGACATTGCTTCTACGCGATTTTAATTGGATGCATGTTCACATAATAATTGTGCGTTACTTTGTACTGATTATTACGTCAAATACGTAGAGAAGAGAGAACTAGTTCATGTCAAATAGAGTAAAAAACCAAAAAAGGCACGAAAATCAAAAAAAAAAATGGTATCAAAATTCGATAAATCTCGATTAATAAAACATCTAACAGTTTTTTATTGTATACGTTAACTGTCATTAGAAAAGCAAACAAAACCAAAGCAAAAATGGAGGACCTTATGACTCCTACTAAATTACTTGTCAATCTCTCCTTCAGTGTTTCGCGAGATCTTGCCCACGCAAGTCGACTTATTTGTACGTAAATACCTAAACGAACTTTTGTTATATCGGGCTTAAACTTAGTAAATTTGACTAGAATTGAGATCAGTAATAAAATTAAA